CTGTATTCGGTTTGCCAAAATTTTGTTGAGGATTTTTGCATCTATGTTCATCAGTGATATCGGCCTGTAGTTCTCCTTCTTTGTGTTGTCCTTGTCAGGTTTGGGGATCAGAGTGATGTTGGCTTCATAGAATGTGTTAGGGAGTACTCCATCTTCCTCAATTTTCTGGAATAGTTTGAGAAGAATAGGTATTAAGTCTTCTTTGAATGTTTGGTAGAATTCTCCAGAGAAGCCATCTGGTCCTGGACTCTTATTTTGGGGGAGGTTTTTGATTACCGTTTCTATTTCCTTACTTGTGATTGGCCTATTCAGATTCTCCATTTCTTCCTGATTCAGTTTGGGGAGGTTGTAGGAGTCTAGGAAGTTGTCCATTTCTTCTCCTTTCACTTTTGATGTTCTGAGTTTCCAGCTAGTATCGTTTTTCATCTATCTGGAGAACTTCGTTAGCAATTATTTTTGAGCAAGTCCATCGGCAACAAATTCTCTTCATTTTTCTTCTTCTGAGAATGTCTTTATTTCGCTTTTAGTCCTGACATGTCTTTTCGCTGGCTCTAGCATTCTGGAATGACATTTCTCTTCTTCCAGCACTTCAAAAATGTTGTCCCGCTTCCTCCTCATCTACAAGTTTTCTGAAAGAACTCTTCAGTCATTTGAATTCTTGTTCCACTGTAAGTAATGTGTTGTTTTTCTCTGGATGTTTTCAAGATTTTCTCTTTGTCTTTAGTTTTCAGTGGTTGATTATGAAGTGGCTGGGCATAGATTTTTGGGGGTTTATCCTATTTAGATTCACTTAGCTTTAGCTTCTTGAAGCTGTAGGTTCATGTCTTTTACAAAATTTTGGAAGTTTTCAGACATTATTTATTTGAGTATTTTTTTCAGCATCCTTTCTCCTCTCCTTCTGGGACTCTGATGACATAAATGTTAGACCTTTTGGAATTGTCTGACAGGTTTCTAAGTCTCTATTCACTTTTCCAACACTTTTTTCCCTCTGTTGTTCAGGTTAGATAATTTCTTTTGACCTATCTTTAAGTTCACTAACTCTTTCCTCTGTCACTTCCATTCTGCTATTGAGCCCATGCAGTGAGTTTTTATTTCCGTTATTATTATGATTATTAAATTTTTCAATTCTAAACTTTCCTGCTGATGAAAGGAAAATATTTACAAGGCTCATACCCATTAACACAGAGCAGGCAAAATGGGCAAATCTGGAGCTGAGAGGCAACAAACCGATAACCAGCACAAGGCTGATGTCTTTAACAGATATGTCTTCTGGTTTCATGCAGTCAATGATATCAACACAGCCTCCATGTCAACAACAAGTTTCTGTAAATTACATGTTCACCATCAACGTTCTTGAGAAATGGAAATTCAGTACCTAATTTTTCATTAAATATACACCTTCATTTTTTAAGTTGATGCCAATAGTTTTTTAAATTAAAAAGTATTACTAAACAGAAAAATAAGATAAAATCCCTATAGCAAGACCCAAAAAAAGAGAGAGAATTTGGCATTACTTTTGGATCATTCTTGTAATAGCTGCTCTAAAGTCTTTGTCAGATAATTCCAACATCTTTGTCATCTAAGTATTGGCATCTATTGGTTGTCTTTTCCCATGCAGGTTGATATTTTCCTGGTTCTTTATGTGTCAAGTAATTTTGAATGGTATCCTGGAAATTTTGATTACTATGTTATGAAACTTTGAGTCCTGTTTAAATCCTATGAAGAAAGTTGCTATTTCTATTACAGCAGGCAATGAACCTGACTACATTCAGGTGTTAAGTTTCACGCTGATTTCTATGGGCTGTGATTCCAATGTTAGTTCAGTTTTCAAAGGCTTCTCAGTGATATTCAAGTCTGTCCATATACACACCCTCTACTGGCTAGTCTGGAACCTTGGCAGTGGTCTATCTGTTAGTGTTTGGTCTGCTGTTTAGGATCATATCCACACATGTGTAGCTCAGGGGTGAGCCCTTCAGTTCATAAACACTTTTATGTGGTCACTTTCTCCACTATCTCTCTGGTACTTTCCAACTCCCTGGGGTTCCCCTTTTCAGTTCCCTTGTCAGAAATCTGGGGCTTTGGTTACTGCATTCTGCTGTACACCTCCCACAACTGCATTCACCTTTAAGTCTAAGCTTTGAGAGTAATGGAGGGGAAAAGTGGTAAACCCACTGCAAGTTCTAATGGTACTTTAAATTCTGGTCTTCTTCCCCAATCTGCCTACTACTATTTGCTTTTCAGAGTCCTCAAATATCATCCCATGAATTTTCTTCAGGTTTTATAGCTGCATTTCCCTGGGAGAGTGAGGGTAGAGTGTGCTCATTCCATCTTACCTGGAACCTGAACACAACGCACTGTTTTAGAGGATATTCTTCAGTATGTTCTTTGATGTGCCTCATATAATGACCCATCTCAGATCTCAAGGTCAGAAAAAGTTGGTGATGGACTTATGCAGATTTCTTTTATTAGACTGTTAATTCCTTTCTTTTATCCTGGTTACTGAAAAGCTCAGAAAAAAATGATTTGGCTCACATAAGCAAATTGCAGTGTTTGGCACACAGGAGGTGCTCAGTAAACGTTAGAGATCTCTATATCTATCTGTCTATCCTGTTATCCCCAAGAGCTAAATTTTATGTTCAGTAGAAGAAACCTTTCTCAGTCTGGTTTTTGGATATAATTTTACTCTTTCCCATGCCTTTTATTACTTAACTTTTTCTTGCAGTTCTGTGATAGTAGTTTGGGGATTTATTTTAGCCTTATTAATCTTATGAGCCTCCTCACATTCTCAAGTTTGGAAGTAGTCAGCATAAATGAACAAACAAATAAAAAAATAACGTATTCATGGAATGCTTCATATTTCCAAAGTTGCTATCACACCTGTTTCCATATTTCATCCTAAAAAACACCCCATGTGAGTGAGGAAGAAAAGGTAACACAGGCCTCCTCTGCAGAAGAGAAAGCTGGTGCCCAGCCAAGACAGGCTGGCTTGAGGATCCTTTGGACACCCCTCCTTCTCAGCCAGAGATGAACTGTTTGACATTTTTGTCTCCTGTTGAATGTTGTACCAAGGCTAACAACAGCTTGGAAACCACACTAGAGAGTTTCAGATGTCTTTTGGGACCCCATGCTCCAGGAACTCCAAGCCTAAGAATTCCCATCAAGCCTTCTGTTCTCAGACTGCCCCATAATTGGTTTATCTATCTCCTTAGGATCCAGGGAACCCCAGAGATGCTAGAGGCTTGATGTCACTTGAGGGAGCATAATAAAAGTTTCTACCTCTTCCAATCTAACTTAGAATAGGGACTCATCTCCTGAGCAAGGTAGACCTTGTGGGCTCTCTACTCCTACTTCTGTCCATGAAGCCAAGTATTTCCTCCTGGATTGTCACTGAGAGGTGAAGCACAGAAACTGACCTCAGCTGGCATATGTGAAGAATGATCGTTGTGGCTCTTTCCTATTATTCATCTACATCCTGGGGCTTCCGTTTTCAGTTCAAAAGAAGGGGCAAAATGAGCCTTGATCACAGCAATGCCAGCATAGACCCAGCCCCTGGGTTAGCCTCTCTTCTATCCTTCCTCACTCCCTTAATCAAACTCAAGGAGCAAAGATTGCAGCCATCTCCCTCAGAGGGGGAGTCCACCCAAGAGTGATTTATTTGCCTTTTGCAGTCCTGGGGAAATGACACCAATAAACACATGGCAAGGAAGGAGAGAGGTACTCATGGGCTCTCACATCCATTCCAAGAGGAGGCTTTGGAGTGTCACAAATACGGCAGCAGCCCTTTACTCCTCCCTGTATCCATACACTTCGCAATGTGACTTTGTAGCTCCTCACATTAAGAGGTGGAGTCTATTTCCAATCTCCTTGATTCTGGGTTGATCTTGTAACTTTCTTTGGCCAATAGAATTCAGTGTAAGAGACATGTGGCAGTTATGACCCCAGGCCTTAAGAGATCTTACACACTTCTTCTCTTTCTTATGGGACTCTCGACTCATCCACGTGAAAAAGCCTGAGCTAGCCCACTGGAGGATAAGAGACCATGTGTGGACCAGAGTTAACCCAGTTATCCCAACTGAAGCCTCAGACATGTGAAAGAGCCCAGTCAAGATCAGCAAAGTTGACCCACAGCTGGCCATAGATGCAAGAGGAAGCCCAGCCAAGACCAGAAGCATTGCCCATTTAATTCCAGCTAAATTGTCAACCTATGGAATCATGAGCAAAATAAATGCTTATTGTTTTAGGCCTCTGAATTTTGGAGCAGTTTGTTACATAGTACTAGCTAACTAATGCAGAGGCTACATACTAAAACATCTATTTCTGTACCATTTCTTGGGTTATTAGGAGCACAAGGTTTTAGTGATACCAGTCAGCCAACAGAAAGAGACTAGAAAGAATGAGTATGATGGTTAGATGCAGTATGAGGTTATGTCTTTGAAGATATTACTGCTGTTTCCACACTCAGTAGTAACAGGAGGAGCTAGAGCAGGAAGGGAATGGAATAAACAGAATCCTACGGGATCAGCTAGAGACATACTCTTAAAACTGTCTTCAGGGACTCCGAGAAATATGAAGGTGCTGGAGGGTTTACAGAGTAGATGTGGTTGGAGCCACAGAGACCACATAATTTGAATATTACATACAAGGATACATTTGTTGAACTTTTTCTTTTAACCTCAAATAAGAAATTTTAACTTCCCAAAAGACATTAAAAAAAGGAAGTTTTCATGAACTTATTACACATAAATTCTTCCAAATAGTGGGAAAAAAATCACTAGATCATGGTGACTTTATTCTTTCTCAGATGATTCTGTATTTTTGTCTAGATGGCCAATTCTTTGGGGATAGTTAAGCAGGAAAAATGAGAAATGGGTGTAAAGACTGGCAGCATTTATCACATATTCTTTGCAAACATGAATAACATAAAGTGCACAACAAGAAATATTAAGTTATTATGGCAGAGAAGTCTGATCTTACTCGTATTTGTTCTCTTCTCCTTCCAGGCAAGCATGAGGATTACACATCTCTGCTCCCCTTGTAGTCCTGAGAGGCCATGTGACTAGGTCTGACCAATGGGTGGTGAACAGCGGTGATCCTGTTATTTCTGAGCTGATGCATTTGATTGTGGGTCTAAAGGCCTCCACCATTCTCTCCTGCACACTGACTGAGGAGGCAGCATGTCCCAGATGGTAAAGCTACAGGATGGTGGCATCTCTGTCTGCCTGGATTGCTGAGTCACAACATGGAGGGCAGCTGCTCTAGAAGTGACCCAGACCTGCAGTGGGTATTGTATGCATGGGGAATCAACTTTGGTTGTGTCAAGTCATCAATGTCTTGATATGGCTTGTTCCCAAACCATTCCCTCACCTAGTCTGACTAATACTATTGAAAAGCTGAAATTTTAAAAAATCTGATTAAAAGAAAAAACTATCAATACTGAAAGTAAATTACAAAAATGAGGAAAAAAATTGTGCTGTTGTCAAATGCAGATTATACATGGTTTAATTTTTGGCACGTAAGGTCTAGCGTTCAGAGGAGCATCCAAGAAACTTTATGAGCATAACATGCTGATGGGAATTTTATCCATTTGGCAGAAGTCAGAGCAAAATTTGATAATATTATGGCAGAACATTTATGCATGATATAAATATTGACACCAAATAATATTGCACCTATTTAGGGAATGAAATACAAAACCAAATAATTAAAATTGTAGCAGATGTAATGAATAAAATCAGTGTGAATAAGGTAAGAAGAGCTAAATATTACTCATTATTTTGGCTACAAATCTTGATGTTGTTGTATTTGAGACACAACCCCTGATGAATACAGAATAGATAACAATTTCTGTTAGACTTGTAGATTCCAAAAATGCAAATGTTTCTATATGTAAACATGTTTTGGGATTTTTTTCCGGTGAATGACACAACTAGAGAAGGATTATAAACAATATTAGCAGACCACTTACAAAAACAATCAAGAATAAAGTAATTTGTGGGAACACAGATATCATAATACTGCAAATATGCAGAGAAAACACGACAGATTGAAACAGATAATTTTTTTTTTAAAGATTTTATTTTTTTCCTTTTTCTCCCCAAAGCCCCCCGGTACATAGTTGTGTATTCTTCGTTGTGGGTTCTTCTAGTTGTGGCATGTGAGACGCTGCCTCAGCGTGGTCTGATGAGCAGTGCCATGTCCGCGCCCAGGATTCGAACCAACGAAACACTGGGCCGCCTGCAGCGGAGCGCGTGAACCTGACCACTCGGCCACGGGGCCAGCCCCGAAACAGATAATTTTAAGAAATAATTCTAGGGCATTTTCTGTCCCTTGACTGTGGATATTTTAATTCTGGTAGTGAATGGTGCAGTAAAAATCTCTTCTGACATGGCTGAATTTTTTTTATACCATCCAGGATCTATATAACTGCTTTTCAGCTTCAGTGAAACATTGTGTATTAAAAACACATTTACCAAACACAAATTTGAAACATTGTCAAATGCATGATGGAAAAGTTGAGTTTATACCATCATGGCACTAAATATTCAATTAGAGACTCTAAGTAATTCCTTTTAGAAAATATTAGTGTATTAGTAAAGACATAGATTCTAACATTCATGCCCAAAGTAAGCTTTCAAAAACATTTGCTATTAAATTTATTTGCCCAGGATTAATTTGGCAAGATGTTTTAAGTAAAATTAGTGCTATATGCAAAATAATACAGGAGCTGAAAGTAAACATATGGCCCTAAGAAGCATCCAAAGAGGCTGTGTATCTGCAGATGCTTGTTGTGTTGACTGGGAGAACAGGGTGAGAGCATGTGAGTTCCCTGGAGCTTAGGGGAGGCTATGGGAGTCTGGACTTGGGGTGAGAGGGTGGGGTGGAAGCATCCTCTGGGAGGTGGTGAGCTTGCCTTGCAGCATGATAGGCAGAAGACCAACTAGGAGGGGATCCGTGTTGAAGGGCCTTGGCCACTGAGATCCCAGAATTTTCTTGTCTGCTGGCCAGCGGTCAGTGATCTTTTCTACACGAACCTTCTGCTAACCCTGGCCTTTGGTAAAACTTTGTCAAACTCCACAACCTCAACTTAGGCCAACACTCAAAGCAGGAAGTGCAGCGTGTCCACACCACTGGGAGACAGTGACCAGGCAGAAAGAGAGAACAAGGGATGCAGTGAAATGCAGCGAGAATAGCTGGCAGAGGGAAGAAACAACCACAGTTCCTAGAGCAGAGCTTCCCACTGGTGTGCAACTCTGATGACAACCAAGACAACTCTGTACACTGCCATACAAAGAGATTGAACATGTTTGACTCAGCCATTTCATTCTGGTTCTATGGATAATATTTTTTGAGTAATTACTATGTGCCAGGCCCTATTCTAAGTTCTTTGTGTGTTTTACTTAATTTAATCCTCACAGCCAGCCTATCAGTGTGCCAATTTTACAGATTAGGAAACCGAGGCCCACAGAGGTTATATTACTTACCCAAGGTCAAATTAATTGGCAGTTAGGACCTTAACCCCAGCAGTCTGGCTCCAGAGTCCACACTCTTAATCAGGGTGCAATAGAATCTAGGTGTTACTCTTATAACCAAAGGGCTCACCATAATGTTCTGAGTTTTTATCCCTAAAAAGAAAAAAAAAAAAAGCTCATATTTTCCCCCCAAGATATAAATCTAAAACCTGCTGCCGCCTTGAAACAAGTTGAAACTGCTTCAAACCATCAGGGTTTCAAGAATCTAGCCTCAGAATCTGGCCCCTTGGCAGTATCACACTGTCTTTCCAATGATAGCTGCTTCTGCTCATCTATCTCCCCAAGCTGATTGTGCACTTTTCTCTCTCTTATAGTAGGCTAAAAGATTGTCAGGGCCCCACAACCGGCAGGAAAATATGCTGCCACCCCTCAGCAGAGGGGAAAGGGCATCATATACCCAGGAAATGGGGCAGGACGTGTGACCACACTTTAGTCACTCTTACAATGGTAGGGTGGATGGGGAATCTGTCTTCCCAGAGCCTGAGGCTCTGCAGCAGCTGCTTGGAAAGAGAAGAGTTACCGTCTCATCCCAATCAAAACTCTGACTACATCTTAAGACCTGACTTGCCAAAGTCAAGGGACACCAAAGTTAGGGTGCTCAGCTTGTCCCAGTTTGCCAGAACTTCCCCAGGTTAGCACTGAAAGTGTCACATTCTGAGAACCCCCTCAGACCCAACAAACCCAGACACTTGGCACCCTGATCGAAGTAGAAATCCAGGGAAACTCTTTTCCCCATGGCCTCAAGCTGGAAGGCCCAAACCTCCCATTTCTCCTGGTTCGTAGAAGCCAGTAGGTCTCAAAACCATCACTGTCAGACTACAGACCAGTCCTCACTGATCTCCATACAAGGGGCCATGGCATCCCCTCAGAGCACTGAGAAAAAGGCATTGAGGACACAGGCCCCAAATTCCATCCACATGTTCCCATCTCCCCAGAGGCTACAAAAAATTGGACACTGGGAGATAGAGATGCTTGGCAGCTGGAGTCACTCCCAGCCTCGGGCAAATTTAACAGGCTTTTACATCTCTGGATGAGATGGCAATATTCTCCCTTCATTCCAGATCCACATGGCCTGAGGTCAGAGATGCAGGGATTTGGCCAAAATGCCTTTCTTTGTGATAAAGGGATCGCAGAGTTAAATCCCATGAGTTAATGTACAGGTGACAAGACATTTGGTATGATTTGGCTGGGACCAATAAGAAGCCACCTCGAGGGTGCTCTCTGTCCCTAGTGGATTCTCCAGAGAGGTCTTGGTCCTCAGCATGGCTACAGACATTCACTGTACATAATCCAGACCCCATCTAATGATATAAGTAAATAAACTATGGATACTCAGAGAAAACAAATCACCAGTCCATCAAAATCCTTGGGGTAAATTAGTTCAGCAGACTGGATAGAGACATAGTCCGTGACTCACTCTCACCCAGAGTAAATAAGGGAAGATTAAGCACAACTTGATTGAATCATGCTGAAGCTTGGCATAGCTCAACAAACAGATCAGCCTGAAATCTCACATTAGGAACACATAATCTCATAAAATTTATGACTGTTATTGCTCACCACATATGTTTCTGGGTTACTGTGTGCTGGGCTCCGAGCAAGCTGCATCACTGGGCTCTTGAGGGGCCTGCCTGCTGATCCACAACGTATTTTAAGAAAGGAGACACGTTCCTGGTTGACACTCTTTGGCATGATCTTCGGCATGGCCTGGCTGCTGCAAAGGAATGGGACTGGAAGGGGATATTGGCAGTGGGGAAGAACACTTGCACCATGCCCCAAGGAGGCCCCTTTGCAAGTTCTAGTTGAGATGCTGGTGGGGAGACTGGCAGGCAAATCTTCTTTCCCTTCTGTAGGCCTCAGTTTCCTCACTTATGAAAGAAGAGGGTAGATGATCTCTAAGGTCTTTTCAAGGGTTTCATTATCAGGGTCCATGAAAAAAATATCAAGGAAGTAACTTATTTAAAGAGAAATCAGAAACAAAATATCATCAAGTGAGATGAGTAGTGAATAGGGGTGCAGGAAATGTAGGTGTGGCTTCCAGAGGCAGGGATGGGTACAGGAGGCTATGGAAATGCTAGCCCTGAAAATCTGGGAGGAAAAGTTAGATGGCCAACTGCTTTGAGAGGTATTTGCAGCCTAAAGCAGCCGGGAAATGTTTTCTGAAGTTGTATCACCACTCTGCCTTCGGCTGCCGATTGATCTAGGCCTTCTTTCTCTCTGAGCCTAAATGCAACCTCAGGATCCTTCTCAATGTCAAAGCCGATGCCCACCCATCAGATCTGCCAGGGAGAGGGAGCTGCTTTCCAACCCAAATGGCCCTGAGCCTCCTTCAGGTCCAGGATCAGGGATGCCAGGTCTGACTGTAGGGACTCAGAATGCAGTAGGTGAGAGGGGAGATCATGAGAGAGGGAGTGATGGCCCTGTGTTACAGGACCGTCACTTGCAAGAGAGGTCAGAATGGGACTCCAGCGAGGAAAAGAGGCCCAGCCCCATGAGACTTTGACACCTTTGCTGGAGTCCAGAATGATGCAGGAGGTTCTGGGCCCCCAAGGCCATGCAACCCAAGTGTCTCCACTGATGGAACCCACACATGGAAGAATCAGGTGCCTCCTGTGCTGAAGTTGGTGTCTTTCAACTCCTCCCTGCCTGCACCCATCCCAGGCTCTGTCCTGAACATTTCATCTCAGCAATCTCACGCTCATCCATGCGTTCCCTGCCAACAGCCAGGGTCTGACCCTTCTGACCCTCGGGCCTTCTTCCAGGCTTTTCCCGTTCAATTTCCAGCACAGCTAGCTCCATCCAGAAAGAGTTTTGAACAAGAGAGTAACATTTTTCTTTCTGGCTTGTTCATTTTCATTATGATTTTCACAGCCAGTTCCAGTAAATCTGCCACACTAAAAGTCCCTATTCATCATCCAAATTCTAAATAATCTTAGATTTGATTTGAAGTCTACTTGTTAATATTTTGCCTTTAAAAAAAAAGAAAGAAAGAGAAGAGCTTTGTTTTTTCCTGATTGTAATGCAGATATCAGCGGGGGACTGCCCTGCCCCTCAACATCTGTGCAATGTCTTGTGGCAGATTGTATTTCCCAAAAATGGCCACAACAATACTTTCAATCCCACATGCTCATTCCAGAATCTTTCGACTCCTCCATCAAGAGATGAAGCCTGTGTCGTCTCCCCTTGAACGTGGGTGGGCCTTTCGACTGCTTCAACTAATAAAACACAGTGGAAGTGGCTTTGACTCCCAAAGCTGGGTCAGAAAGGCAATAAAGCTTCCACCTAGCTCACTCTCTCTCAGGACACAAGCTTTTGGAGTCACAAATAGTCATGTAAGAAGTCCAGCCCCCGTGAAGAAGCCCAGCTGGAGACACCGTGTGGAGAGACCACATAGGGATAGATAGAAAGTCTTGAGGAGCCCCAGCTGACTGAGCCTCTCCAGCCCAGGTGCCAGATACACGAGTGGTGAAGGATTTGCCATGACTCCAACTGCAAGGCCGTCTGAATGCAACCACAGGAGGGACGCCAAAAGAGAACCATCCAGCTGAGCCCAGTCACCCAA